GGAAAGTTTGTGTATCGAAAACAACGTTCCTATTCAAAACTGACTTAAGATAAGTGCGTTAAGGGTTTTAATGATTATTACTTCGTGTTGTATGGTGGTTTTAGATTGCGTTCCCAGACACTTTTAAGAAATTGGATCTCTTACGGGCTGGGTTATAGATATTATTTATTAGGTGTCGTAAATAAGATTTAATTATCTGGGAGATTTTTGTTAAATGAAGAATTTGGTATTTAATAAGAATGCAACTTTTTTTTAATAAAATGGAATTAATAAATGATTATGGTACCTGGGTGCGGTAGGTTACACACACCCCCTAGATGTTAATTGCGTAATAACATTGGAAATGTTTAGTAGTTAACATCTTAAATGTTTACCCATGGTCTGAATATTCGTGCTGAGTCAATAATAATGTATATCTTAGATTAAATGAGATTACCTACTTGCTAAATATATATGTACATACATACACACACACACACACACACACACACACACACACACACACACACACACACACACACACACACACACACACACACACACACACACACACACACATACATACATACATATATACATACATACATACATACATACATACATATGCCTGATGCAAAGTGTATATGTATAAATAAATGCATAATTAAAGAGTAAAATTATCATATAGATTAAATTGGAATACTCAACTTACTCAATATATATATAAGTACAAACTTAAACGGACAAGCTTATGAGTGTATAAATTTTCTAACTTAAGAATAAAGTAAAGTAAAATTATAAATTGGTGGTAAATTGGTGGATTATATAATAGACTCAATTCTTTTTTTTTTCATATATATATATATATACACACATATATATATACATATATAAATCATATCTAAACAAGTAAGTTGAGTGAAAAAAATTAAATTTATATTTTTTTTTGTGTTGATAAATGTCCCTTTTTTTATAGATAAACAAAATTTAAACCTTAACTTGTGAGGTGCCCCTACACCGTACTCTCATGGCATGGACATAGGCAACTGCTGCAATTCTCTACCTTCCTAACCTTCTGTTGCGCCTGTCCGAATACAGGCACTTCCAGCTCCAGGATTCGCCTTTCCGGTAAATTTGTCTCTTTTCTTCGAGGGTCCTTGTGCGACGTCCTGTATAATTTAGTGATTTCTTGGACGTCCCGTCCTGGAGTCAACGGGCGTCCAGTATCTCCGTACGTCACTATCATTGTCCCGTCGAGCACCTCGAACTTTAATTTATTAATATTTCTTTTCGCCCACATTCTCTTTTTAAAATTTGTTCTAACCTCTTCCTCTGTTAATTTTACACTCATTTTTTTTTCTTGTCTGACTTGCGAAGTTTAAATTTAGAATGATTAGTTTTGCCTTAAACTAGATAATTTTGTTTAAATTCCCTTTCTCTTAGGGTTAATAAATTAACATGCCGTCCGCCTTGTTTGTTACTTAGGAGATTAGTGCTGCGTTAGTCGGTGTGGTACCGTAACAGATTATCCGTATTATACGTCCCTTTTTTCCCTTTTTCGTCGAGTGTACTGATCTCATATACGTTATCATGTGGGATTCGTGTAATTTTATAGGGCCCTTCATATAATAGTGCAAATTTTTCTGCAACCCCTTCAGCTGCGTTTGAAATGGTATTTGTTTTTAACAAAACAAGTTCCCCAAGTCTGTAAGTTACACAGTTCCCTTTTTGTTGACGTGCCCTTTTTTCTGACATTTTTATTAAATTTTTATAAACTCTGAAATTTAATTTCTCAGTGGGGTCTTTGGGCTCCTCCTTTAAGTACTTGTTGATTACTTTGTTCAGTTGGTATAGAGGGCGTTTTCCCTTTACCAATTCAGTGGGGCTGCATCCTGTGCTAGAATGTGGCACGCTGTTCAGGCATTCTTCAAATTTCTGCAAATAGTTGGCCCAACTGGAATGTCTTTCATGGCAATATGTGCGAAAAAGGCGCCCTAGCTCCTTCATATATCTTTCTGCAGGGTTCGATTTTGCATTTCTTATTGATGCGTATGTAAACTGAATTCCATGTTCTGTTAATTTGTTTTTCCAATGGTTTGATGTGAACTGTGTTCCATGGTCGCTAAGGATTTTTCTGGCCTTCAACGTAGGTACGACATTTTCTAATATTCTCTTAACCGTCACTGCGGCATTCGCCTTTTTTAAAGCAAATAGTTGTACATATTTAGAGAAGATATCCACTGCCACTAAAATGTAGGTTACACCCCCTCGTCCTTTGGGCAGTGGTCCATAATAATCAACGGCAACCAGCTCTCCAACCTCCTTTGCATGTATTGGTTTTATTGGTCCATGTGGTAATTTGTTTGGCCTTTTTGCCTTTTGGCATATGTCGCAACGTTGGATAGAGTGATTTATGTGCTTGCGCATACCACTCCAATAAAAATATAATCGAATTACGGAAAACACCTTTCCACCAGCAAAATGGCCCATCTCTTGGTGGTACTGGTTGATAAGCTTCTCTTGTAGTGATTTTGGTACGACTATGGTCTTAGTTTTACGAAATTGGTCGATATATAGTAGAATACCTTCTTCAATAATATAGTTGCCCACCACTCGTTTTATGGCCTGGTCAGTCATTATTCTACCCTGAATATGATCGATTAATTTAGATGTAAGAGAGTCTTTCTCCTGTAAATGTTGCAAGTGATTTAAGTCGTTAATTAATGCCTTCGTCCCCTCTATCATAAAGTTTGCTAATATTGGTTCACTCGTTTCTCTTATATTATCTTTAGTATCTGCTGGATATCGGGACAGTATATCAGCTACTACATTTTCAGATCCCTTAATGTGCGTTATGGAAAATTCAAACTGTTGGAGAAAAAGTAACCATCTAGTTATTCTCTCGTTCAGGAAGCGGCATTGTTTTAGGAAGACTAGGGCATGGTGATCTGTCTTAACAATAAAAGGAACACCCTGTAGATAGAGTCGGAATTTTTCTATGGCGTATACAATTGCCAAAAGTTCTTTTTCGGTGGTAGTGTAGTTTAGTTCTGGGCCTCTCAGACTTCTGCTCAAAAAACTCACTACTCCCTTTTCACCTGGTTTCGGTTCCTGGTATAATACAGCTCCTATACCATAATTAGAGCTGTCTGTCTCCAAATGATAGGTCTGTTTATTATCGGGGTGGATTAGCGTGACAGACCGAAGAAATTGTTCCTTAATTTTGTTAAATTGACAATTTTGCTCTTCTCTCCAGTTCCAAGTGACTCCTTTTTTTAGTAGAGAATATAACCCGGTAGTAAAATTGCTGAAGTTAGGACAAAATCTTCTGTAATAATTGCAAAGTCCCAAAAAAGATCTCAGGTGTTTCTGCTTAGATGGCGTTGGGAAGTTTTGAATTGCCATGATTTTTTCCGGATCCGTTTTTATACCGTCAGCAGTAAGTATGTGGCCAAGAAATTTTACTTCATTTCGTATAAAATAGGACTTTTCCAAATTAATCGTCATATTAGCAGCTTTCAGTTTGCTTAAAACCATCCTAATATGTTCCAAATGTAACTCGAAAGTCGGTGAAGCAATTAGCAAATCATCAATATAATTGTGTGTAAAATCTCGGACTTCTGTGCCTAAAACTTGGTCCATACAGCGAGAAAAACTACCGACAGCAGTTTTTAATCCAAAAGGTAAAACTTTAAAACAATAGCTTCGACCATTATAAAGAAAGGCTGTATACTTTTTACTATTGTCTTGAAGAGGGATTTGCCAAAATGATGAAACGAGGTCTATATTTGTTAAATACTTTTGGCCGTGAAACTGTTGTAGAATTTCGTTAATGGTTGGTGGACATTCGTTATCTGCCACCATCTGTGAATTTAGAGTTCTAGCGTCTAAACAAATTCTCACGTCGTCGTCCTTCTTCTTTACCACTGTTATAGGATTTGAGTATGGGGAATTTGTTCTTTCTATCACCCCCTGGACTAACATTTCTTCCAGCTTTTTATCGACAGCGGGTCGTAAAGAATATGGAACCGGATAGCTCTTTTTGACGAAAGGTTTGTCGTTCATCATTTTAATTTCGTGTGCGTAAACTTGAGTTAGACCCGGTTTATCGGAGAATAAGTGGCTAAATTCCGATAAGAGTTCATATAAATTATTTCTCTGTGGTTTATCTAAATTGCCCTCTTCAGTCTTTTTACGTAGTAAACAGCTAAAGTCTATGCCAGGTGGATGTCGGGAAATTGTAAAGATTTCGGATTCTTCGAATTCTACGATGGAATGTTCAGCATTTTTTAACGTAAATTTTATTTGAATTTGTGGACCATCGTCGTGATTTATGGTTATCGCCCTTTTTGAAAGACATATGGTGCATTTGTTCCGTTCTAGCCAGTCATTTCCAATAATACAGGGTCGGACTAAGCTTGGGATTACCAGGCAACATATATCGTAAGAAACTTCATTAACAAACATATTTAGAAGAATTTGTTTTGTTACTCTTTTGCTTCGTGGACCAAATGCTCCTCTTATAAATATAGCCCGTAACGGTAGAGTCGGAGTAAGATGGAACTTTGTGTCTTCGACCGTCATTTGATTATATAGTTCTTCAGAAATACAGGAAATTTCGCTTCCGGTGTCGATCAGGGCTTGTGTCGTGGTATTTCCAAGCTTTATTGAAATCTCTGGCAGTAAACTAGGTTGTACATTAGTTTTCTGTTCGTCATCGTTTTTTTTCCATTGAATATAGGAGACGGTGGTTCGTCGTTTTTTATTATTTATTGTTTTACTGATGCCGGAAGTCTCGAACCGTCTTTTATTTACGGCGTTGACAGGCATTGTTCGACCCTGTCCGCATTTTCCGAGGCCTTGTCCGGGGATCCATCCCATTTTGTAAATTATATTCCACCCTATATGAGGGTCTGGAGGTGTTTGTCGAGGAATATTGGCAATTGTAGAAAAATCTGCTCCCTTTTTTAGGCTGATTGTGAGTGGGCGATTAACTAGTACAGTCGAACATACTGGCCCCTTTAGTTCGACCTTGGTCCGTTTCCCGACACATTATTGCTCTGACGATTGGCAATATCAGTGTTTGTTTCGGTTCTGATTTTCTTATATGGGTTCGGGTTTCCAGAAAAATAACCTGTCTCGTATCTGCTTGAACCTGCAGCGGAAATATTGTCTTGGTGGCGGAGGAACTGTGCAGCTTTGGCGATCGTTCTATTCTCTTTTAACATCCATAGGGATTGAATGTGCTTTGGAAAATGTCTCATTATTTCCGACAGTAAAACATCCTCGGGAATTGGTTTCGTTAGAAGTCGAGCCAAACCAACATATTTTGCAAAATGGTTTTCCATCGAATATCGATTATTAGTGATCCATTTGTGTGAGCTGATCTGGTGTCGGACTTTGTTCTGTTCGATATCGGACCAGTAACTATCGAGGAAATCTTCCTTAAAGTCACCAAAGTTCATCCAAGATAATTTGTATATAGTTGACCAGTCTTCAGCATTTCCACTGAGTGCGTCGTAGACGGTATCTAATTGTTTGTTATAAGGGATTTCCAATTTTCGGATATATGTTTCAAGTTCTTCTATAAATTTTACAGGATGTTTGCTGCCATCGCCCTTAAATCTTGGAATGGCTGGGGGTGGAGATACGTATACTGGTCGGTCATTTCTAGGTTCCGTACTGATGAGTGATTCCATGCTGTTGGTACTGTTCCGTAGGGACATTGAAGCTTCAATACGCTTCATTGATTGTTCATTGAGTGTCAAGGTCTCTTTATGCATAGCCACCATGCTTTTCCCCATCTGGACATGGAATGTCTGCTGAATTTCGAAGGCTTCCTTCATTTTTGCTTGGAGTTCGCCAATAGATATCTTGATATCCCCTATCAGTTGTGCCATTGTCCGTGCCATGAAAGTTGAAGGTGGTTCTGAATTGTTGTTGGACCTTGGAGTTGCTTCCAATAAGTCATCGGGGTTCCTCTCTTGAAGGTTTGCTGCTTCGTCTGTATAACATAGTATAAATGAAAGAGTATCAGTTCAAATTTTATAAGGTTAAAATTTTTTTTTTTTTTTTTTTTATTTTTTTTTTTTTTGTTACGAATTTCATTCACATTTTTGTACCAATTTAAATGACTTTACATCCTGGTCACGGCACCACTGTGACCTCCCACCCCCTGGTCTTGTAGATAATTATTAAAAGCCCGTATTTTAATTTAACTACCTCCCTCCCCTTGTGAAATTCAAAGTAATTCATACTTACTGTATATGGCCTTTTCCTCTAGTAGTGTAGTGATCGTCTAGTTAATTAATTGATAATTTATATACCCACGTTGTGATAATGTTAATTAAAATAAACCAGGATTCGATGCAAAGTTTGGTACAAATTTGTGAATGAAATAATGCTCAAAGTATTTTTAACTTAATTTATTTTCTTGATCTCCAATAAAATAAATATGTACAGATTATTTTAATATAAGGTAGACCTCGCATGTGTCTCGCCCAAACAACAGGCCACAGGCCACTTGCCATCAAATATTTGTAATTAAACAATTCTTGAGAATAGACAGCAGACGTCCTCAGAATTGCACTATCTTTATTAATTCTTTGTTTCGTTGTTTTCTTTTTTATATAGGTGCGCTTACTGAGATACCGTCGTTGCAATAACAGGCGGATATCCCTTATATTTCAGCCTCACCTAGGGGGGTTTTATGTAGATGTAGCCTTACTAGAATAGAGCCAGAGCAATACTAGCAAACTACCCCTTATGTTCAGAGCTACCTACGGTGCGAAGATTAAGAGATAATTATCTAAGATAGTCCAACCCTGTAGTAACATCAAGCATATTCGGATAAATGTGAGTCTAGTCGTCCGATGTGTCATTTACCCCAATCAGCTGAGCTGTTATTTGCGAGGGTTCATTGACAGTTCGGTAACCAGACTCATATTATCTTTTACGGTGATATATTAATTTGAAGGCAATATGGCCCATAGCATACACATCTGGACGAGCTAAATGCGATGTCGGCTAGCAATAAATTCCTTAAAGGTAAAGATTCACCATTATTGAATAATAATGAGTTACAGAATAATACTCATCATTATTCAACAATAAATTCCCATTTTTTATAATTTTAACTTGGTTGTTATTAACTCACCCTCGGATAAACAGACCGTTGGGTTTATATTATCGTCTGTTTCTATTTCAGACATTTTATATTTTTGTATTTTGGATAATTAGCAGGGACGTTGAGACGTTGGCGTCGAAATTTAGAATGGCGGGGCGGAGAAGGGGCGTCGTGACGCAGAACGCCAAACGCAGGGAGGTAGATAAGTAAGGACGTAGGGCGTCGGATGAGATCTTGAGCGTCGGATGGGGACGTAGGATAAAGAGATGACGTAGTGACGTCGAGCGTCGAGACGTTGGGCGTCGGGATGAATATAATGGTAGGAAATACTAAGTGGTGTTAGAAGTGATATTGTTGGGACGTCGAAAGGTAGGGAAGTAGAACGGAGAGGCGTTGGGTGTCGAGACGTTGACACCTTTGGGAAATTGGAGGTATTGTGGGATAGACGTCGTTTAGGAAGAGCGTTTTAGGAAAGGTACAGACTGTATAACTGGGTACTGACAATAAGGTGATTGCTTTGAATGTGAACTAACAAATGTATGCTTGCACATCAAATGACAAAAATTGAATGAATCTGAGCTCATTTAACTCTGGTTTTTATACACAGTTTAATCGTTTTTGTGACGTCTCTATCGTTTTGTTTCTCATAGAAAATACGAATTTAGGTGGATAGGGGGGTGGCTGATTTATTACTTGCCTTGGAAAGTTTGTGTATCGAAAACAACGTTCCTATTCAAAACTGACTTAAGATAAGTGCGTTAAGGGTTTTAATGATTATTACTTCGTGTTGTATGGTGGTTTTAGATTGCGTTCCCAGACACTTTTAAGAAATTGGATCTCTTACGGGCTGGGTTATAGATATTATTTATTAGGTGTCGTAAATAAGATTTAATTATCTGGGAGATTTTTGTTAAATGAAGAATTTGGTATTTAATAAGAATGCAACTTTTTTTTAATAAAATGGAATTAATAAATGATTATGGTACCTGGGTGCGGTAGGTTACAATAGCTTCTCTTCTTCTTCCTATACGTAGCTGGCGACCACTAATAAATGTAACCTCAAAATCGTTTATTAGATTATTATGCTTTTCATCCTTATTGTGGAACACCCTGTTTATATGTATATAATTTGAATCGAGCTCTTACATAATAATATAGCCATTGAAATTTCCTGTTTTTTCAAAACCATTAACTATTATGATTAAGTACTTCCTCCAATGTTTTACAACTACATTGATTGTGTTGAAAAATAAATAAATTTTAATGATTGATTTTAATTTATTTAATATACCGACTCGAAAAAAGATGTGGAGAATAGGAAGGAAATAGAATGTTTTTTGTATGGTTGTTTTAAATTTGAAGATACTTTCTTCGTACCTAGGTACTTTCTTTTATATTTTGTTCATCCCACAAACTTCAAAAAAATCGAAATATATTAAGATAGTGTGACACTGGTAGGTGTTAAATTAAAAAAAATGTATATAAAAGTACATGGTAGATACGTTATTTGCAACAACAGTGGTTTCTTTCTTAGCACAAATGTAGGTATGTTCCTACCTATTCCTAACTTTAAAACAGATGACAATTTTAATGATTGATAAAAGGATGATTCCAAAAAAAGGGTTAATTCGAAAGCAAAAACCCACAGAAAAGTTATCAGCCTACAATTTTATTGGATTAACAGTGTTTGTCTCCAAAAATTCAATCAAACATATTGCGGTATATGGCCAAGCTCGTACTTTAGTATAAAGTTCTTTCTTTAAAAAATTAAAGAGTCCAAACAAAATAAATTATAGTTATATAACAAATTATTAATGTAGACCATACATATTTACTTTATTAAGGTACCATTAATAGGTATAACCGCCAGTTTTCAGTCGATATATTCAGCTACGAACAAAACTGAATAACAAAGTATCGATTTTTCTCAACATGGATGTTTTCAAAAACAATTCTTTGAAGTGCAAAAAAGTCTTCGTAGAACGAAACAAACACAGGGACAAAAAATTGGCCAACATTTTTACCATTTTGTGACGACCTTTTTTTATTTATCTGATCCTGTTTAAATTAAAATGTATAGTTTAAAAACATCAAAAAAAAAACGCAAAAACCATCGATATTAACCTTAGATAAAAGAGAGTCTCTTTTATCTAAGATATTAACTAATAAAATCAGATAAAAAAATACATCAATGGCAACATCGAAAATAAAAACGAAAAAAATCGATGTTTTTCATCATTGATACATCGTGTGCATCCCTATCATTAATATCACTAAATTTGTACTACAGGGGTGCCTTTAGGAACCTCGCACAGCGCGTCTCGACCCTATTCTAATGAATGTGATCAGACGCGCCGTGAGAGGTTCTAAATGCACTCCAGATAATTTTCGTATCTAGTCCATTTCCAAGAAGTGTACAGATGTCCATAGTTTTCCATACAACTAACCATTGCATATGAAAAAAGGAACATGCGTATTTTATGATTACAAAGTCGTGCGCTTCAAAGACGTCTTTACCCTAATTCATAAACCGATCTCAGTTGAGTCGGACTTAGCTGAATCATCCTCACAAAGCACGTATCCTCTAGAGACCCCACGCCAATGTTAGACTTTTAAACCAAATTAGCGCCACCTTGTGTTTGGAGCTGGAACTAAAATGACAATTGAGAGATGGCGGTAAATTTAAATTTTAATTTTTGGTAGTAGGTAGTAGTTCTAAATTAGATGTTAAATGATTTACACATGAATTATTTTATAAAATAAAGTATGGAACTAGTAAGTTCGAAACTTTTATTTTACAAAATAATTTAGGTTGATATGCTACTTTAAGTAATTAATTTGTTATAATGGGTCTAATTTGGAGAGTTGGTTTTGCATATAATTATTAAATAAATATAAGATATATCAATAAATAATAAATAGAACATTCTTAAAATATGTTTATTAATAACTTAAATAAATATCATCAGAACAAAATAAATACAAATAATAATACAATATTTAACGAATTCTTACTTGGAGCAAATAGGTATACGATCTCAAATCTTTAAAATATCAATATATTTAAATGTGAAGTAGAGACTAGGATATTACATTTTATTAACACTTAAGTTATATTTTATAAATGTCTTTTTACCTGAGGATAAATATAATATAGGTAGTGGATTAAAAGGTGAATCCTTTTGAGGTGATTACAGCACTCCTTATAATTTTCGGACAAGCATATCTCAAAAAGTAATTTTTTTAAAAAATTTAAATTTTCGCAAAATAAATTAGGTAATAAATAATATCTAGAATATGCGTGTATTTTAAAGTTTAAATTACTTCCAGTTTCAAAAAAAAAATTCAAAGGGCTTTTAATTTTGAATTATCACAATCAAAATAAATATATTTCTCAACAGCACTATTCTTAATATAATCTCCAAATTAAAGCTCCTAATTCTTGTTAATTATTTTTTAAAATTCGCCGAAATTAGTGGCTAAAACGCCTCGTTAAGTGCTGCTTTCTGGTGTAACGCGTCTGTAACTATCGTATCGTACACTTTCAGTCATCATTTGTTTCTTGCAATGATTTACACCAGTTTACACTAGAAGATAGCACTTAACGAGGTGTTTTAGCCACTAATTTTGGCGAATTTTAAAAAATCATTAACAAGACATTAAGAACTTAAATTTTGGGGATTATATTAGGAATAGTGCTGTTAAAAAATGCATTTATTTTCATTATGATATTTCAAAATTTGAAGCTCCGTGATTTTTTTTTGGGAAAATAGAAGGAATTAAAAC